ATTTATGATATAACATGCGGTATTGATTGCTTCTGCCTAAAATGACTTTCCTAGACCTGCAGCCTTCAATATTGCTCTTGTTTTTTCTAATAGAGTTTTATTCATCCGTTCTACCACTCTATTTTGCTGTGGAGTGTATGCCGTTATGAATTGTCTTTTGATACCTTGATGTTGACAGAAGTTATAAAATTCATCACTAGTATATTCTCCTCCATTGTTAGTCCTCAAACACTTGATCTTTTTTTCAGATTCAAGTTTCATCCGCGCTTTGAAAGTTTTAAAGACTGTAAGCACATATGCCCTCCTTCTAATTGGATACACCCAACATCTCCTAGAGAAGTCATCTATGAATGATACAAAGTATCTTGCTCCTCCCAAAGATACAACCGGTGCTTGCCAAACATAAGAGTGAATTAGATCTAAAATGCATTTGCTCTTAGTTGTTGATGTGCCAAACTTCAACCTGTGCTGTTTACTTATAACACATAGTGCTCACAAAAAGGTAAAGTAATTTTTGTAAGCCTAGGGAGTAACTTCTAATCAAAGAGAACTTTTAAACCTTTCTCTGACATGTGGCTTAGTTTTTTATGCCATATCATTGTCTTCTCTTCTCTTCTGTAGGACTGGCTGATGCGATTGAACTCTTCTGCCTTATGATATGTTTCTCCCATTAATACAAACATGTTTGCAACTGTCTTTCTTGCCTTTAAAACCATCAGCGCTCCTTTGATGATTTTCATGATTCCATGGTCTGTTCGAATCTTACAGCCAAGACTATCAAATTTTTCTGTAGACAAAAAATTCTTCTTTAAGTCTTTCACATATTGCACTCCTAAAATAGTATGAATTAAGCCATCATACATCTTTAATTTGATGGTGTCAATGCCAGCAATCACTAAAGCATGGTTATCAACTATAAACATTTTACCTCTAGAGATGGGTTCATATATATGGAACCAATCTCAATTAGGAGTCATACGCCATGTTGCTCCTGAATCCATTAGCCAGATCTCAGTGAGCTCTTCTCTATTTGTAGAGATTGTCGCTACTTCACTATATAAAACCTCTCTATTTTCTGAGGTGCTTGCAATACATCCTTGAGATTTTGATGACTTTGCAGTGTTCTCTATACCTTTTTAAACCAACAATCCTTTTTGAAGTGTTTTTTTTGCCATAGTTGTAGCATTTAACAGTCTTCTTACTTTTTGATTTGGACCTCCCTTGCCTTTGACTCCCATTAGGGCCACGCTCCATTGATCTTTCTCTTGACACTAATAATGCCTCTATTTGGTTCGAATTATTTTTGTCTCTTTTGTTTTTGCGCCTATTTTCTTCTTTCAAGATAGCGACTACAACATCATCAAAGACTAAATAGTATGAGAGAATATTATTGGTCAAGTCGATAATGAGCTGATCATACGAATTAGGAAGACTTTAAAGTAGAAGCTCTACACGTTTATTTTCCTCTATTTGTTGACCTAATGTAGTGAGTTGTGAAAATAGAGTTCTTATTATGTTGATGTGGTCAGTCACTGACATGGTTTTTTCCATTTGAAGGGTATAAAGTCTCCGCTTTAAAAAAATCTTATTGTGCAAAGACTTGGACTGATATAGCTTTCTTAGAGTCTCTCATATCTCCTTAGCTGTTTTCTTCTTCGCCACACTTGATAATACTTCATCGGCTAATGCTAAATGCATGTTAGCAATAGTATTGCCATCCATCTCATTCTATTTTGTATTATCAGTGTTCTTCTCGGGTCGATCCCTAACTGCTGCCAAGCAATTGTCTTTCGTTGAGATTGCTTTGATTCTTATTTTTCATAGTGAGAAATTGCTCCCATTAAACCTCTCAATCTCGTACTTTGTTGCCATTGTATTCACCGAGATCTATTCAGCTATCATTGTTTCATTGATCTGCAATGTATACAGAAATAGTACCATGTGAATAATACTTTACTAAGTAAGTTTCTAGGAAAGATTAGAGGGGTCACAAATGGTCTGGCTTAAAATCCAATCTCCTTAGACAGAACTTCCTAGACTGTATTTAATCAACGCACTAACTTTCTATATATGCCAATAGTAACGTATGTGAACAGTACCGTTGGACCGTATAGGTGAATAGTAACCGTATACATGAATAACTTTTGTGTATTAACAACACCAACCAGAAAGCTCTGATACCACTGTTAAGATACTAGCATGCAAACCCAACAAGATAAAAGGCAAGGAATAAGATAAAATGAGAAATGAGACACAAAAATTTACGTGGTTCACCCAATTGGGCTACGTCCACAGGCAACTATAGAAGGATTTTACTAAGTAATGTGGGAATTACAGCCTCTCTCAAATAATAGAAGAACAACTAAGAATCTCTATATTACTAGGAGAAAACACCTTACTTACTTTCTCACAAATACCTCACAATTTTGTGGGATTACTCTATCTTCTTTCTCCTCTTCTTTTTTCTATCTTGGTGTGCATAATAAACTTGGAGGCATTGCCTATTTATAGGCAAAAGTGAAGGGGAAAAGACCAAAAATCATGGCACCAATTATACAATAAATTATACCAACAACTCATCTCCACTCATACTCCACCAATTATGCCAACATTCTAGTGCTTTGGTTGCTAAGCAAACATTAATTGTGTGCTTTTCTATCTTGTATTCAATATGGGAAAGCCAACTACAGGAACACACTCATAAAATATCACTCAAGATAAAGGATGTTGTGGAGCTTAAAAAATATGGTATAATGTTGATCACTTAAGTTGTTGAGGTGTTGTGTAATAAAGATGCCTTCAATTTTCTTCAAGTTGAACAACTTGTTCATCGAGTGCATTTTGTTATTTGTTAATGACTTCTCATATATCTTAGACAAGGCTTCCATTAACCTTGTAGTAGATTTTTCTTTTGTAATGTTGTGAGCAACTCTTCTTGATAAAGATAGTTAAATAATTTCCAAAACTTGTCTATTAAGAATTAGTCATTCTTCATCTTGTATATTCTCTAGTTTGCTCCCCAACAGAGGAAGATGAAGTTTCTTCCCATATAAATAGTCTTCAATTTGTATTTTTCAATATCCAAAATTTATCTTATCAAATTTTTTAATTCTAGCAACATTTATTTCATCTGCTATTTTCACTAATTTTAAAGTTAGAATTTGCTAAATCTGACTTCATGGTTGTGTCTAGAATGGCCAGAAATATTGAAAACGACTCTAAAATCACCCAAATAGGACTTTGGATGGCTCATATCTGATCAATCAAATTTTTAAAGTAATAAACGGTGCGTATAAAGCTATGTGTCAGGTGAAATAATATATATGGCAAACACGTACTCAAACCGGATCCACTTTTGATGACTTGGCACAAGTGTGTGCAATTGTTATTAACATAGCATGAGCTGACGTTGGCGGCTGACTAATCAAGTGACATGACAGATGACTGTGTGAAATTATTGTTGTGGTTACTGACTAGATGATGATGTGGCAGGTCAACCTGTTTCAGTTGCAGGTAGTCAGGTGAAGAAGGCACGTGTGGCACATCTATGCGTATAGGCAATCTTGACGGCAACGCGTGTAGGTTGGTTCTTCACCGGAGTTTCACCAGTGGATTTCTCTCGTGTTCCCCTACACAATGGTATGTTCAAAAATATATTTTGAGAACATTGATTTCTCGGTTTGGGTTAAACATCCACTTTTTCAAGAACAAGCTCTGAAACTAGTTTTTAGGTTATTCTAAAAATCAAACACACACAAATTTATGTGGTTCGACAACTTGCCTATTCCATAGAGGTACTAGTTTGTATTAATCAATCAAAGAAACAATACAAACAAGAAGGAGGAGAAAACACTCTTTTCTACTCAACTTACTCTTACTCAAGCTCTCTTTATTTTCCTCTTCTATCTCTACACTACTCAGCTCTTCATTAAGTCTATTTATAGACTAAGCTGAGAGCAAGGGGCATAAATTATAGTATGTTTTATGTCTTAAATTAAACCCTCACCTTGAGCTAAGTGGGAGATTACTTATTCTCACTAGCATATGGTGGAGATGGGGCATTCCTTGTTTCTATTTTACAAACAAAAATGCCCTCTAGTTACTACTCTCTCTTTTCTTTGCATAATATTTGGACAGATAGCAATCCTTTTTGATCAATTTCAAGATGCAGGTTCACAGATAATTTCTCAACTTGCTGGTTTGCATTTGTTATAGTCAATGTAATAATCCAAGATCAAACCGAAAAGTGAAAAGAGAGAGGAGAATGAAAACAATACCGTGTCATTGTCGTTCCTTCACAGACAAACTTCGCCTTGCATAAAAACTCTAAATACAGAACTGCCAATACCATTAAGGGATTCAATGAAAATTCTATATCATACTCATCACTTTCCATTATGAGTGTGATACAGATGCCAACTAAATTTTTATATTTATTGACTTCAACCTATTATATTTACTTTAACTTCAATTCAACATTAACTAAGCACTAAATTTTTCTTTGATATTGCAAAATACTCTCATATATATATATATATATATATATAAACAACAAAAACAAACTATTAAGTTAAATTTTAAATAAAATAAAAGAATTAATTTTTTTAAAAATTGAATGACTAAAAAAAAAAAGAACCGATCATTTGTTTGACCCTCGAATTCCAAATAAAAACAATGTAAAAGAATGAAACTATGTTCGTTTTTTCTTATAAATGTATAATTTTTAGTACAACAGAAAATATAATGAATAAAAAAAAATAGACAAGGAGGAGCCCAGACCCTGACCCAAAAGGCCCAGCCTGTTACACATCCCAACTAACTCTCTCCCAGCCCGCGCTTCTGTGCTTCTATTCTGTCAAATATAACGGCTCTACCTCCTCTCCTCATATTCTCTACACCCAAACCACCAACCGCCACCCTCTCCCTGGCTCTCTCTCCCCGTCTGTTCACGGACTAAAGAAAGAAAAAGAAAAGAGTGAATCTTTCTTTCATTTTCTCTAATGGAAGCAGACTTAAAGGAAGAACAAGAAGACGCACTGGGACTTTACATGAATCTTTATGCTCGTCCAGATTCTTCTTCGTTTGAAGATTGGAAATATTCTTCTTCACAACAAATCCGGTATGAAACCAGCAATGTTTGTTCTTTTATAACCCATATTGTGGGCCTCAGAAGCCACCCTGCTATAGTATTCAGTGACCATGAATTGGTTACACTTGTACGTTATCCACAATGCCCTCATGATAAGTATGCCATAAAGATTTTCAATTCTACTTCTATGGAAGTGGGTTACCTTCATGATCAAGCTTCGGCTGCTTTATCTCCTTTAATTGATGCTCAAATGATTAATCTTGAAGGTGAGGTGACTGACTCAAGAACTGGAGATGTTAAGTACTCTGCTCCTTGTCTAGTTAGAGTCTTTTCAAAGTCAACTGATCTAGAGAATGTTAAACAATCGATTTTTGGAAATACTTTGAGCTTAACTCGTGAGCATCGTACAAATACTGAGAGAAATGAGGGTAAGGGGGGTAAAGAAAAGGGTTGGATAGAGAAATTGGGGACTTTAGAGCCACCAAAGGAGGTGATTAAAGCTAAACTTCTTGATCATCAAAAGGAGGGTTTGTGGTGGTTGGTGAATAAAGAGAACTCTGATGAGTTGCCCCCTTTCTGGAAGATGAAAGATGGGTTGTATGTGAACGTTTTAACACGGCATCGAACGAATAGGAAACCGGAGCCTTTGCATGGCGGGATTTTTGCTGATGATTATGGAACAGGCAAAACTCTAACTTTGCTTTCTTTGATTGCTTTTGATAAGGTTGGCAATATCCCTGAAGGAACAGGTGAGGAGGATGAGGGAGTGTCTGTTTGTAGTTGTAAGAAGAGAGGAAGGGTGAGTGAAAAGGGTACTGGAGAACCAAAAACACATACCCTTTTGGATAGCTATATAAAAGAAAGTTCTGAGGACATGGCTGATAAGTCTTCTAGTGCTTCGGTGGCTAAGCAAACATTAATTGTGTGCCCGTCTTCTGTGTGTTCAACATGGAAAAACCAACTACTGGAGCACACGGAAAAAGGATCGCTCAAGCTACACAAGTATTATGGGGATAGCATGATTAAGGATGTTGAGGAGCTTAAGAAATACGATATAGTGTTGACCACGTATGGTGCCTTCGCTAATGAGTCCTTTGAAAGGTGGTGCCCTTTGTTGAAGATCGAGTGGTGGCGAGTCATTTTAGATGAGGCTGATGTGATTAAGAATGCAAATGCCAAGCAAAGTAAGGCAGTCTCTAGTTTGACCGCTAGGAGGAGGTGGGCTGTTACAGGAGCACCCATCCAGAATGGATCGTTTGATTTATTTTCCTTGATTGCTTTTTTGCGATTAGATCCACTCTCTAAAAAAAGCTACTGGCAAAGCCTGTTTGAGAGGCCACTCGCTAAGAAGGACGGGAATGGATTCTCGCGGCTGCAGGTAATATCATACTGATAAATATTTGCCTTGATTACTGTTTTTGTTTATTAGTTATGTTGGTTTTAAGTCACAACTTGTAATACAACTTCATAGACTTTCAGGATTTAATGGCGGCCATTTCTTTGCGGAGAACGAAAGACAGGGTTTTAGTTGGCCGATTACGATCAAAAACTGTAGAGACAGTTCGCTTTAAAATTTATGGAGACGAACGTGAGCTGTATGATCAGATGGAAGCAAAATCCAAGAAAGTTGTCCGCAAACTCATCGCTACTGGTAGACTAAACAGAAGCTATGCATCTATACGCGGTGCAGTCATACGACTTCGCCAGATGTGTAATGATGCAACCCCGTTCTCGTTGTATCTCAAATCATTGCTACCTTCTGACGATATAGGAGGTATTGAAGAGTTCTACTTGTTAATATTCTCTTCAGTATGGTCTTGAATTTTTAATTGGAGTATATGAAAATTCTTCTGATGTTATTTGGAAGATAAATTTTTGGATAGCGCCTTTGTACACAGAAAACTTCTACAATTATTTCAAGTTACGGAAGTTCTTGCAACATTTCTTTCCTAGCAGTGTGATTATAATGCGCTTACCATCTCAGCTCCTCCTGAATCTTCCGATCCTGAAGATCCTAGAAAATCTACAGCAATAATTCCTTCCAAAGTCTCAACTCTCATAAAACTCCTGAAGGAATCTAGGGACGTGAGACCAACCAGTAAATCAGTGGTTTTTACAATATTCCAGAAGATGTTGGTACTACTTGAAGCGCCACTGAAAGACGCTGGCTTCAATGTATTGCGGTTGGATGCAATAATAGATGCTAGAAGGAGAGGTGGAATAATCAAGAAATTTCGATCAGCAGGACAAAACACAATTCTGCTTGCGAACGTTAAAGTTTCAGGGGCCGGCATAAACCTCACAGCTGCTTCCGAAGTCTACTTGTTGGAGCCGTGGTGGAACTCAGAATTGGAGGAACAGGCAATAGACCGTGTTCACCAATATGGACAGGAGAAGAATGTAATAATTGTTAAATTGATTGTTCAAGACAGCATTGAAGAAAGGATATTGATGATGCAGGAAAGGAAGAAACTGGCAATTGAAGCTTTCGGAATGCAGGGACCCAAGGAACGACGCGAGGTTTGCTTAGAAGACCTCTGTAGCCTCTTATCCTTGGAATAACATTCCCATGTGCATGCCTGCACCCTGCAAATGGTGTTCTCAAGGCGGTAGAAGAAGGCCACATCTCAAATCTCTATAGCTTAGGTTCTCCTTTATTTGTAGACGTAAAAAAAGTGCATCTTTTCAAGTGTTCTTGGAATTCTTCGAGGTTGATTTCTATAATTGTTTGCATGACAAGAAATAAAAACTTAATGGATCTATCCCTAACAACGAAAGATTGCTAGCTTATTGTACTTCTAAGTTTCGTCTATAAGTATGTACAATTGTTATATTCTGCTTTTGGTTATAATACGCGTGTAAGGATTGAAGTTTACATATACATTTTTCATGTCTAAATGCATGCAAAGTTTATTTTTTTAATTTTATTGCAAGATTAAGTTGATTAAGTATAATGGCATGATATGTAAACTAAACAATTATGATCTCTAGTTAATCTATAGCTCGTGTCCACAGAGGGGATATTTACCCTGTACTTCCTGTTTTGATTTAGTAATTTACTTCAAAACTAGCTCACATATAAATTTATTTTATTTCTTCCATCAAATTCATTACATGACCGGGATTGTGATGTTCATCACATGTCGTGGGACTTGGACACATGTAATGGACACCAACGATTTAGATTGCAGTAGTACTGGCACCACTTTGTTCAATGTTTTTCTTGCACTACTAATTTAAAATAAAAAGAATTTCAAATTTTAATTTTAAAAGGAACTGATATGATTCAAACAAGGTTTAAATCAAATTTTAACATAAAATTTTATATTGTTCAATTTTATTTTGTCGAGCATAACTTTTAATTTGATAGTCGGACTGGACTAATCTTGTTATAGGACCTAGTTTTTCTATATTAGATTAAAATTACAGGTCAATTTCATAAAGATATTATTTCATATAGTCAAAGTTACTAGATAAATCTTATCAAATATATCTATGTGGACCTTTGTCTATTATTTGGATTATATCTAGAGTTATAATATGAAGTATGTTGAGATTTTATTTGTTTTGGAAAGAAGACATTCATACCTTTCCGATGATATATTATAAACTTTCTAATTCATCCAGAAGAAATGAAAAGATGTATTTGAAGTCAGAATTGGAATCTATCAAGAATATATAAAAATTACAGAAACATTGTTTCCTTATATATTATGCATTCCAGTCAATACAAGGATTCATTAATGCTCTTAGAAACATGTATGACAGATATTAACTTATCTATTCTACAAAGATTTCATATTAAATAAAATGACTATTATTCATAGTTTGTAAAGACTTCATATTCATTATGGAATGATGTGGTGGCAAGGAGGCTTGATATTCTTTTATTATTATTTTTTCTTATTTTATAGGACTTCCAAGCATATTGAAAAGGCTAAGAGAAGATAAATTCAATAGTTAAAAACAAATTTTCCAGGCTAATTTGGAGTATGAATTTTTGGCAAAGCTTCCAAAAAAAGGCAAAATGAGGAGTTTTGACCATGCATGGGATTTCAAGTAAAAGAACTTTGTTTTATGATGTTTTTATTTATTTATTTTAATGTTGAATATTATTAACTTTAGATTTTATTCTAAATTAGGATTGTGTCAATCTTGCTCATTGGCTTCCAAATCTTTATATCCATGAGATATGTTGTGATGTTTTGAAAATTAGTAGGAAAGGGCAAACAAGCCCTTGGTGGCTTAAAGAGTAAGTATAATTAAATGAGGGGTATTGTGGTAATTGAATAATAGTTGATAAATATAAATAGAAAGAAAATAAAACAAAAGAACAAAAGAGGGAGATGTGTTTTTTTTTGGAGCAAACGTAAGAGAGGGAGAAGGAAGAAGAAGAAGAGAAAAGAGGGGAAGAGAAGGGAAAGGGAAGAGATTGAGAAGAAATAACTTTAAAGGTAAGATTTAGGTTGTTAAATGTATAAATGTGTTGTTTGAAATTTAAATTTATGTTTTGATAA